CGCCGCCAGGAGCTGCAATGGCTGCCGGGCCCGGTCCCACCACTCCTCTCAGCTCCGTCGCCGCCATGAGCCGTCGCCGCCCGGAGATACAGGACCGGAACCGCCTACGAGAGCCTCGGTCGCCGTCCGGGGCGCCCCACACAGCTAGCGCATCAGCCGCCGCCGCGCCGCGTCCCCGCCCCGCCAAACCCGCCGCGGGGAGGAGGGCTTGGCCTCTAGGAAGGAGGACGTCGATTGGTGCCGCTGAATGTCACTTGCAAAAGACCCCGCGGACATTGGCATTTCTCTCGAGCCTGTCATTCTACACTGCCCAGTGAGAGCTCGGGGCGGGACTAATTTACCATATCCACCGCCGATTGGTTTACATAAAGGCCAATCAGACAGTTGTACAAGCTCATTGGTGCTTCCCTGCAGACTCTACTGCTCAAAGAAGACGGGAGAATGCGAAGGGCCTGGCCACATTGATCGCTGATTGGTTAATACTTCCGCCATTCATTTTAGTTTATGCTTCTGTCATCGCCACGTCACCCCCTCCCATCCTCTTCTTTTCATCCTTTTCCGCCCTTACGGATTGGTGGTTGTGTCAGCTTCTCAATCTCTTCTACCATTTATTGAAAGGCTTGAGGAGAAAGGGGAGGAGCTTCGCCTTTACATCCTCACTTTTATTTTTTATTGGCTGATACCTATGTCATTCATTTGTTGGCGTAGAGGCGGGGCAGTGACTGGAGATGATTGGTTCCGGGAATTGTCTGTGAAAGCTAGCTTGGCAATGTTGACCAATGAAAGAGACCTAGTGAGTGAGAGACAGTCTAAGACAACCAATGAAAATCAGGAAGAGTGCTTGGGGACGTGCCTGTCTGCTTCCCCTTTAGGGAAGGTGGTGGGAGGTGAAAGCGTCTTGTACTCTCCATAGAGAGATTTTTGATATGAATGCGTTGGCGGATTCCTTTTTTGTGAATTAAGACCTTTATAGTTTCTTGGGAAGAGCTGGACCTAGATAGTGATTTTTGGCCGTGAGCCCCTGCTTGAATCTCCCGTCTAGGGCCTCCTGGCTTGGACTTGGAGGCCTGGATTCCTGGGGACTCTGGAAATAGGTTCTCCGGCCCCTCCTGAATCCGCTGTTCCCTGATTCCCTCGCCTCGTATGCTCATTATTGCACCACATCTCTGGTTTTCTTGATACTAGACGTCATATGCATGTATCCCAGAAGTTGTCTCGTGAGATGCTGGATTTAGGTACCAGGACTTTGTCTCTTGGAGACCGAAAGGCCCTCGTTGGTTTTTCTCATTATAAGCACATGTGCATATATTTTGGACAGAAAAACATCACATTTTGATCATTTGACTGGTCACACATTATTAAGAATAAATTCTGCGGGAACCAGCAGTTAGCGTAATGGCTATGTCGCTGGACTCTGACGTAGTGGACCGCGGTTCAGGTCCAGGACCCAGTGACTTAAAACTCACACCAGGCACCTGTGCATGCATGCCCAAGAACCGGAGAGGAGAATGGAGGAGAAGGGATTGCAGTATGATCATCCCCCCTGGGGGGTGATTTCTCGCTTTCTGTCTCTCTGTCTCTCTCTGTGTGTCTGGCAAGTGCACGTGCCCTATAGTGAAAATCTCTCCAAAACAAAAAAGAATAAATTCTGTAATTAGCTTTTTTTTTTTTTTTTTTTTGGCCGGAACGCCCACCTCCCAGTAATAAACCAAAATGACAG